CCCATTTTGCCAATGAAAAAAATAATAAATAAGAGTAGTGAGTTATTTTTTAAAAATTTTTAGCCCTTATAATCTCAATTTTCTAAAATCTTTTTCTATCGAATTCTAAAATATTTTGAGTGTATTAAATTTCATATATTCTTTAATAAAATGCGAAATTTCATAAGAAAAGAATGATGCGTTTTATAGTTATAAAGTTTTAAAAAGAGTTTTCTTTTAGCGACCAGGTATAAATAATTGATACTTTCAGAATTTTCAGTTAACCAAGGTATTAATTTGTGGTTCCAACTGTATTTCAATGCATCATTCATAAAGTGCTGATGACTTAGTTTAAATATTTTTTGCTATTAATAGTTTTCAAAAAAATCTATTTTATTTTTAAAATATTTTTAAGTTATTAGGCATTTTAGTTTTAAATAGCATACCAATTTTATTTATTATTATTGTATTATCAATTAAATATATTAGAAATTTAGCAATTCTAACCGTAATTTGTTTTTATCAATTTTTTTTATATATAATTAACGGAGTGAATTTTTAAACTAGTTTTTACATATAATATATTAATATAATTTTTTTTAAATATATAGAGCAAAAAAATAATTGTCAAAGCTTTTAAAAAAAAATAAAATACGCCACCTTGCGTTATAAATATCATTGATTTCCTATTTTTTTATTCTGGTAATTTTGAATGCACTTACATTAAAAGAATAAAAACATTATAAAGGAAAAATAATTATTAATTTATATAATTTTATTATTTAAATATATCCAGTAATTTAATTTTAATTATTGTTTAGATTTTAAGAATAAAAAAATATATATAATTTATACCTGCAAGTTTTCTTATGCATTTATAGTTTATTTAGAAAAAAACGAAACATTCCTAGGTTAGAGCCACACAAGATGGCCAGAAGTTGAACCTAGATTGGGTTCAGTGCCGGGCTTGATTTGTCAATAAATTGGGTCGGGTCGGGCTCAGGTTTAAAAAAAAATAATCAACTAGTGATTTTTATTTTTAGTGTACCTTTTAAAAGGCGTTTACTATATATTTTAATTAAAATTTTTCGGGCCGAGCTCCGATCTAAAAATATAATAAAAAATTTCTGACCGAGACCGGTTATAGCTTAAAAATAAATCTAATATTTGAACCGGGATCGCGACGAAAAATATTTAATTCGCAAGGGCTCTACTCACGGCTCGGAAAATGGTTTATGGGGTTTTATTTTTGAATATTCTTTTATATACATTTTTAATATCCTCTTTATTAGTAATAACTCATAAGATTTGCAAGAATTATAGACGTATAAACTGATCAAGTTTATATAAATATTAATTACAATTCAAGTCAAAATAAAAATAAATTGAACTAAACAATTTTATTTTAAATTTTTGCGATCTACTTTATTTAAGATTTTTGGGAAATAATTTCACGAACTCTTTGTAATTCATATCAAATTTATGTTCCACTCTACCTCGGCTTAGTGAAAGTTAACTAAGATATCAAAGCCCTCCAGAACCCCATAATTTTTTTTAAAAAGTGGTCGACTGCATTAAGATCCATTATAGAAATAAATGGAATCGTATTATATTATTTAAAAAAATCAGTTCAGACATCAATTTTGACTTAAATTGGAAGATAAAAAAATAAAATTTTATTGGGCTTAAATAGATCTGAATGCAGCTTACCTCTTTTCATGAAATTTTATTCCGATTGTGAAGCGGTCTAAACTGATCCTAGAATTTTTATCCATTTCGAATGAATTGCGATTTTTTACGAATGTAGAAAACAAATTCTACGAACATCTTATCGACATTAACGATTAGTTCTAAATTATTTAGAATTCTCTCAAAGTTCGATTTATTATTAACGGATGGCAGATATATTAAGCTCGGGATTATAGCGAGGGGCAAATTTTATTGAGAGAATTAAAAACTTATACTGCAAAAGCAACATTTAAAAACCTTATAATTTTTCAAATATAAATAAAATCGTTCCCAATTTTTTTTTAGAATAATCAAACAAACATTTATTTAGTGAGATGACGCAACATAAAAGTTGGGTATGGCTAGTCTACTAGTGAAAGATCTTTTAATTTATCATAAATACTATGAATTCGTAAAACAGAAAATGAATTGTTAGAAGAACAAAGCACATCTTCATTTCGAAAAATTAATCCATTTCTTATCATATTTTTCTGAAATCGTCGTTTAAAAATTTATATTATGGGCATGCAATAGGCCAGTTTTTAGCTCTTGCTCATTTTATGAGTGCATGTGGGTGGATTAATATTTTATAACACTGGGCGAACTAATGGGCGGGCCTGCGAGCTGGTGAATTTAAAATATTTTTCGGGCAAAATGAGCATGACGGGCTTATATTTTTTAAAAAATTTATTTCATAATATCAACCAATCAGATAATTATTTAAACTTTTGGAGGGCGGGTTAAACATATTATTTGAATTATTGCACGGGCAGGCGGATGAATTTTTTTCAAAAATCCATGAACGGGCAGATGGGAACTTTTTTAAAAATGGGCGGGCGTTCAGGCTAAATATCCGCCCATTGTAGATTATAATTAGTATATATTAAATAATATTTTTAAAAAATCATAAATTTTTCAAATCAGAATCAATTTTTTAAAAACTTTAAATTTTACTAAGTAAATTTTCCCAAACTTTTCATATTTATTTTTGTATAATGTAATTAATAATTCATCGGGAATTGATTTACACATAATAATATAAAGTGGAATTACCAAAAAGTTACTCGAACATGGAATAAAAGTTCAGTGATTTTATACCTATAAATGTATAAAGTAAAATAGTGTATATTATTATAAGTAAAATTCAATATTCAATAGATTTTTATTTATTTTATTGCAGTATCTTTTACATTAATATGATAAAGTTATATATTGTTATTCTTCTTGATTAATTATATTATTAGTATATCTGATAAAAATGGGTAGCTTGTTTAAAGTGAGCATCATTTACTCATAATTTATCCAAGTATATCTTATTTGAACTATATAATATAATAATAAATAGGAAATAATCTAAGAGCAAAATTGAGGAGAAAATTAGCTAGGCAAATTAATAGATAATTAACATCTTATACTGTTATACAATCACACAACACAAAAAATATATTTATATATTTCCTTTAAATTTACCATCTATATTTATTTAAGATACTTGTATCTTTTGCTTAATTAGAGTTATATTGCACTGTGTTATTAAAAATAAAATAGGAATAACTTCTTAATTCTTGGGCATATAACTTTAAATTTGGTGTGAAGATGAATTATTATATTTAATTTCTTACTAATATTCCTCGCCGGGGTGGCTTAATAGGTTAGATGTATGCTAAGAAACAAAAGGACGCAGAGGATGCAGTTTCAATCCTGGTAAGGAGCTAAAAATTTTCGGGTTTTTCTTCGATGATGTATGGCTTTAGATATATGATATGATAAATTTCTGAGCTGAGAAATGCCACCCCGGTCATCGACAGGCTTGGACAGCCGGGTGCTAGGATACTTGTCCAATAAACCAAAAAAGACGGCCAGCTGAACTCGTGGGTCAGATGATAACGATTTCTTGGCCAGCTCTAGGATGATAAGTTTATTTTGTATTTTTATTTAAGGTTTAGTTACAATGGACTTGATAACGATACACCGGAGGGAGATCCATCGGGATTGATACCAGTGGGAAATCAGGTTTGGGATATCTGTCGATTTGATAATTAAAAGTGAGGAATACTCAGGTTGGATATCTGGTCGATATTGATTTGATACACCAGTGGGGGAGATCACAATATACTTTGGCCTCGAAAATGATACACCGATGATCGATACAAATGAAATCGATCAAAAATACAAAGATAAAAATAGATAGCATGAGTAATAATATAATAGATAAGTGAAGGAGCTTACCACCAGAAAAGGTGAAAGCTACAAAGGAAAATAAAAAACATTTTTTATTAATATTCATCTTTTGAAGAACTTTTCCGGCTTGACATATTTTGTCAAAAAACCATTTTTTACTCCAAAATTATAAAATCATCCTCTAGATTATTTTTGCTTTTAACAAAATGTATCAAGGCTCAGGATTTAAAGATTTGTATTTTACAGAATGTATATCACCTTGGGGTAAAGTGGATATGGGTAAAACAGTTATGTTCCGTCTTATAAGCCGTAAAAATATAATTTTTAAATATTGTATACATCATATAAAAATATATTTTTGTGCAAAGAGTAATTAATAAATAGTTTGTGATATTTGGAATAAAATTTTAAAAGGGGAAGAATATTTGATTTAAACTGGGCTATTTTTGATATAATTACATTCCGGTATTTTATTGATTAGTTAATAATAAAATTGATAAATAGTTATCAGAATTGCAATATATTGTTAAATTAAACAATATAATTATGTTCAATTTCACCACTTTACTACGATGCTTAGCAACTTTACCCTGGGTATGGGGTAAAATGGCAAAAATAGCACCCTTTACATAATTAATCACAGCTCCTAAAATATTATAAGTAGTGCTACACCTTTTTTATTTATTTTGTAGATGAGGGATTTGACTACTTATAAATATATATGTTAATGTTTCAAAAGAGTATAGTAAAAATGAAAAATACCAATCGTTTACCCCGGTCTCCCTTACTTAAATGACCACTTTATGGATAAATGTACGAATAAATTATAGTAATGTTATTTAAAAAAAACTTGGTTAATTATCTTTACCCAGGTAAAAATAAAATTATTGTTATCATTTTTTTGTATCTAATAAATTAACCATCAAAAAAAAATAATATTCATTCATATTATTGATATATTATAATAAAAAACATTATAATTTATGTATAATAATAAAGATACAAATTTAAAGAATGTAAATAAAAGTTTATTTACAAAATTTCAATTTTTTAAAAAAAAAATTTATTAAATTTTAATGAAGATTTTTTTAAAATTTTCTCCATTTATAAGATAATAATTTAACCCTTTTTCCAAAAGATTACAAATAATTTAGTAAAGATAATATTATTACCTATAAAATTTATTACCATTAAAATTTACCTATAATTAAAACTAATAATTATGAGTATCATATATAATATATTATCGAATAATTATTTTATCACAAGGGGAAAAATCTGCCGCTTAACTTATCTGATGACATCAAATTAAGTATTTCGTGAAAAAGAAGAAAACGTGATCGTAAATTTTATTCTATTCTAATTCATAAACGGATTGAATTTATCATTATAAATCTGTTATTTATAAACGGAAAAAAGCGCTATTTTAAGGGTACATTTATATATATTTTTTGTTTATATAGTATTTATGCATTTTCCTATATAAAATCTGACCACTTTTTATCGGTTAAAATTAGAGAAATCTTCCCTTCCCAAGCTTTTAACAATGCACTTGTAATAGAATTTTAGTTAAAATTTGTTCAAATCACTAAGGTGATCTATCAATAGCTTTAACTGGTATAAAGTGTATAGTGAATTTTTTTATAAACTTCTGATTTATTGGATTAATATGGCACCCTTAAGATCCCTAATTTTTATCAATAATTTACAAATAGTATTTTCAAAACTAGTCAATCATGTTCAAAATTATTCATCTTATTTAAACTCTACCAACTGGGTACATGGCCCCATTTGCAATTTATATTATAAAACTTACGGGTTCATTTTCTTGAGCTTAATTTTTATTAATTATGTTCATAAAACTTCCTCAAGAATAAGTGTACAAAATTATTGCAAAAATTCCGCTGGAAACATAATCAAAATAGATGAATTTCACTACTGCCAAAAAGGGTTCAATGTTATTTAAAATTAATTTAGATTGGAAAATTTTTATATCCAAAAATGAAAATTAAGAGGGCATTTAAACGCGTTTTCAGTTGGCAAAATGACTAAAAAAATATTGGTCATAAAAATCCAGGTCCAATCCGAATAGCTTCTTAAGAATGTAATTCTTGGGCGTCTTTATTTTTATAGTTTCTTCGAATATGTAGATAGACGAAAGAAGGTGAGAACATTTACTAAATAGTGTGAAATAAATACTGCTAAATTCAAACATTTTACCTACTCTAATAGGTATTTGACATGCCTCTGGAATCTAAAGAATATAAATAATAAAAAAGCTAGTTGTACTATGCCTACTATATTATACATAAAAACATGAACAAAAAAGCATAATGAACATATATAGTATCCCACATTTAAAAAAAAAGATTTATTGTTTTATATGAGAGTCCATTGGAACTAGTTAGTAAGCAATATAATATTTCGGCAAGGTACGGGTTAATCTTTTACCCTTACTATCTAAAATGGATTTGAGACTTGTAAGAATTTGAACTTAGAAAAAAAATTTAAAAGCAAAAACTAATATAATGAAGGGAGTTCCAGAAAAAAATGTACTTTTATATATCATAATTTTTAAATTATTGTGTGGGTTGTATTATAGCAAATTTTTTTTCACACCAGTATATTTTATTTCAATTGCAACTACACTAGATATAATTTTGTTTATGTAATATATGTTCAAGATAATGATGCTATTGTATTTTTTTAATTAAATTATACGATATACTACAATAAGAAGAATGGTTTAAAAATTTTTTCACTAATTTATTAATCGGGGAAATTTAAACCATGATTACTACTTTTTTAAGCAAAATTAATGAAAATGTTATAATCAATTATTTTTATTAAAAATTTAATAAATTGTTATCATTTTTTATTCATGTTACATTTCGGGGTTATTCATGAAATTAGTGACTCTAAAATATAAGAGACCTCCTAGGGGGGGGGGGTTGAAATTATATTTTAAATTATATAAATTAAATTACATAATCCTTTTTTATATATTTATTTAGAAGTATTATATAAGATTTAACACTGAGCTGGAAAATTTTTATCAATTTATAAAAGATTCGATTTCTGCCAGGGAAATTTTCTTCAACAGGGCTATAAAAAATTTATTGAGGAGGGCACTGAGGGAATGAATAGTTTTTTTGGCATTTCGCTCGGATTGCATATTTGAATCATTTTTTGTCATTTTATAAATAAAAATAGGCAATGTATAAAAAATAGATATTTGGTAATTGAGAAAATTAGATAATATTAATCAGAGTTTCTAAAATCACACAACATTTTAAATTCTAAATATGTTAGTGTCAGTGTATTTTGAGTATGACTTTACCAGAAGAGTGTATTCCATCATGTTTAGAAACACCTTGATTTTTAAAAAAATGTATACATGAACTTCTAAATTTATTATAATTTATACTAGTTTTTCCATAGGATTTTTATATAAATTTTAAATGACTAAAAGTTAACGATACAATTGTCTGGAACACAGAGGGTAGGTATTCTTAACATGCTAAAATTCATTTCCGATATAATCAGATTTAAAATTTAAAAAACACACTCAAAAAATGATTTAAAGTTGAAAAATGTTAAAAAAACATTGACGCTAACATTCATTTTTATTGTAATTGGTTCGGAATGCCAGGTTCTGGTTACGATTTTTAGATTCGTCTCCGTTTAGAGGGTTCTGGTTAAGATTCCAAACTTTGGTTAAAACAATACCAGTTGGCTAAAAATAAAATGGGATAGAATTCCTAAGCACAAACTTTTTGAGTATACAATAAATTAAATTTTTTACCTTGTAATATATATATTTCATCTTATATTTGAATAAAAAAATTTTTTTGATTTTTAAATTGAAAAATGTGTTATCACCTTTGTTTGTCCAATTTATAGATAATGCTACCATCAAATTTAGATAGTAGCCATTGCTTACAGATTTTTATTTAGAGATGAAATTTTTTTTTTAGTTAATGTTACCATTATTTTTAGGTAAAGATTTAATTATGTTTGACTTGTTATTTTGACATTAATAAGAAGATCAAGTTTCCATTTAAATATATGCATTCACTTTTTGGTAATAATATAATTTTTCTAAATTTTGACATTAATACTTAAAAAATTAGGTATTCATTAAAGTATATGCCTTTAGTAATTATATTTACAGTTTGTAAATAAGCAACTTTTAAAAAGGTTTATATTACAGCAATACTCTAACTAAACCTCTCAGGAATCAAATCATTTATTTTAAATAAATAAATAATATACGAATTTTATATTAATTTTTCGAATAGAAGATTTTTAATTTATGTTATTCGCAATCGGCGTGAGAGTTTATTAATGTATTATTCTAAACGATAATAAATTTTATTTCAATATTTATAAATAACTATTTGTAAATTAGAATCTTGCAAATTAAATTTTCTGAACACGGGCCCGATTCCAATTTTTAGTTTTTTCAACCTCTATTCTGTTTAAACTTTTAAGCAAGAGGCGTCCGAAAATTTTAATTGAAATATATAAATTATATGCAATTAAAATCCCTAATTGCTTCATCCTAATCACAGTAAAATTGTGATTATCGTTTATTCTAGTTTCCTTTTTTTTGTTCAGCCAGATTTTTTATTGACTATTTGAATCAGATTCTGACCCGGCGCAATAATTTAATTTTTATTAGATTATTTCGAATAACAAATATTAAGCATAATTTTAAATGTAGGTATACATAAATAAAAAAATGAACATTTAAGCTAAAAAAGTTATATATTATGAAATTTTAAATTTTTTAAAAATTATAGATTGTAGTGAACCAAGTCTTTTAATGATAATAAATATAATTTTTATGATCAATAAGATAAAGATAATATTTTTTTGAGTGAATTTTTTTATAAAAGTCTTCACTTGGTGTTCCTTGGAATTTTAAACCAATTCTATATAAATATGAATAGATATTCGAATTACTTGAAATCAATGAATACAAACACATTATTTCATATTTAAAAAGACGAATAAAATTTACTAATACGATTCTAAGAAATCTATACCGTACCAATAATTGAACTGATAATTCATTATTTTTCAATCTAATTTTTGAAACTGCATAAAATTTTGGTTATGAAAAAGTTTGTATCAAGTTCAAGTATATTGTCAAGATCAAGTTCACTTGTTCCGCTTAGCATGAAACCCATTTGATTTACGCTTAAAATATTTGTTCCATTATTTAATTTAAAGAATTTCTCAATATTTGTAAACTACATTTCCATCGAATTTAACTTTTACTAAATTAGTTAAGTGATTTGAGGTGTAAATACTTTTTCCATTTTCTATAAAAAGATATTATTTAATTCAGACAGGTTGGAAAATTATTTTTATATTTCTAATAAAACTGGGAAACCTTTTATCTGCCTTAAAATTTTAAAACCTTTTGCATACCAAAAATCAACTATAAGCTTACTTTCACATGAATGGCTGATATGAAAGGTTTATTGATTCTATTATTATTCAGATAATGAGTGCTTTAATTAATCGACAATTTTAAAACAAAAATTGATGACCTTAGCCTTGGACTGTTTAAATAAATAAATACTTTTTAAAAAATCAATTATAATAATCATCGGCTAAAAAATTGATGTCTTTATTTTTTTTTCTTATAATAATATTCATTTAGTTCGAATTTTTTTTCAATTAGTTGTTGATTTTAATTGTTGTATTGTAAAAACATATGGATGAAACAAGGACACATTTTTTGTTTTAATTTTATAAAATAATTGTAATTTTTGGATATGATGACTTGCATACAAATTGTAGCAGTTACAAAAAGTTAATTATATAAAATAATAGAATGGTGAAAAGATCTTGGTTAATTAGACATTTTAATATAATAAATCAAATCTATGTTACTAATTTATTTTAAAAACTAGAGCTCATTATTTCTAGTTCAATTCGATCGAATTCAGTACGATAGGAATCGGGCGACATTTTCCATGACTCAATCTAGATGGACTTTGATTTTATAATTTGTATTTGTTCCTCAGCTAAATTTAAAATTATTTTCAAGAAAAATACTAAAATAAATAAAAATTTAGTTTTCTTAGGGGCTTGTAAATTTTTCTTTCTTAAATAATCGCACTTTCTCTTCAGTCCCAAACCCAAAAATGATATCTCGGATCGGACAAATATCAAGGAGTAAATGTTAGTTTTAATAAAAAAATACAATTATAATTTCTTTTACTTATATTAAATTCTCAGACCAATAATTTTTAAACTGGCAAAATCAAAGTTGTGATTTTTTTTGAGATTACTCATTCTAAAAACATTTCCACTCATATTTAAAACGTTTAATAACAAACAGTTTTATATTTTAAATGTATTCATTTCATATATTATAGCTTTAAAATCATCAAGCGATTAAAAAAAAATAATACC